CAGTTTCAAGCATACACAGTGTTCCTTCCATAATCCTAAAGATTAATTTTATTACTTAAAAAATATTCCTGTTTGAGGTAAGAACCAGGTGACATCCCTCTGATTTATTTGTCCTTAATACATTTAAAGTAATAGGAGTTAATTTTCCTTAGTTTCCCTTTTAGAGGAGACACCATAAATTTATACAAATGGAGTGTGTGTGTGTGTGTGTGTGTGTGTGTGTGTGTGTGTGTGTGTGCGTGTGTGTGTGTGTGTGTGACATCACAGGGCAGCTAGCACCTTACTGCATTGTTCAAGTGCACCAGGAGGGAGTGGAGTACATGCCACTCATGGTTTCATAGCCTTGTCTGGGATTTTGGCTGGATCACTCTTGCTTGTCTCAGATCTCCATTTCCTGCCCACCCCGAGCTTCACGCCTGTTTTCCTGCTTCCAGTTGTTTCCCAGAACTGTCAATTTCTTAGTCTTGCTTCCTAGGTCTGAAATGATCCTTGGGTCCAGTGGCTTCTTCTTCTGCTGGTCTCCAGGTGCTGTCTGGAGTGTATTCGCTACCTCATCCCTGTAGCTCAGAGAAATGACATTGTTCAACACACACTGATGATGGTGTAGCTCTAGACATGGTGTGTGCTGTGCTTCTGCTTGTCTATAAACTGGGGTTAGTTGTGTTTCTCCTCTAAGGGCTTCCTGGGCATTACATTAAAGTCTTAGGATACCTAGTGCTAAGAATGGACTGAATACTGTTAGCAAACAAAGTAAAGCAATTTTTCCTTCTTTCTGGCTTTAGTTTATTTGCTACCTATCAGACAGCTGCCAATATGTAATGCCCTGCTGTGCCTGTGAGTCTCCTAGCAAAAGAAACTTTACAGATTTACTTGATGGACAACCTACCTATTGCATCCCAGAGTAGTGTGACTAACATTCTCTGGGAAACTCCTATTTAATGAATGTAATAATAATAATAATAACAATAATAATAAAACACATTCTGACCAAAATCAGGGCACTAATTCAGCAAGTATGGATGCTACTTGGGAGCATCACTTCATATTTAAATTTTAAATATTAAAAATTAAATATAGCTTCATATTTAAATGAGGATTGTTCTACCATTTACAAAGCAAACAAACAAAAATACTCAAACTGTGTTTTAGTGTGAGTTTTTAAAGTCTCTTTTTTTAAAAAAAGTGCATGATTGATTCTAAACTGAGCATTGTAAATATTGTTCAAAAAATATCATCTTGATGTATTGACTTAATATACACTTTTAAAAGTTCTATCTATAAAGAGGGAGGGCCATTTATAATTCTGCGGTATCTAATAACAACTTCCTCAAGAACCAGGAAACTTTGCAAGTATTAAATAACCTGAAAGGAGGAGACGAAGAAGGAAGTAACTGACCAGAAAGAAAAGAGGAACAGTTCTCAGCCCAAGCAGTCTGATGAAGGGTGAGAGAGCCCGACACTCCCAGACTTGAAGTGAGTCGGAACACCATTTAAAGTATTTGGGTAATGAAAAGAGGTAAGAAAGAGATTCACCTTTAATCAATTAATGATGTTTTGCTTCATCAAAAAACAGTTTTTTTAAGAATAATTTTGCCTTAGTCATAGTGGGGAAAGCAGTTTGCAAGTTGGGGTGAGCTCGGTGTGTCTAGGACCCTGCAAAACTAACCAGCTCTTCCGTGTGCCCATCCTGCTTCCCGACAAAAATATACTATCTGCTTTGCAAGGTATGCGTTTTAAAGAACTTGTGGTTTGAAGACAAGTGAATGATTATCAGTCAATTTTTGGAAGCTGCTGCTTTCCTAAGTGAAAAGAGCTTCCAGGCTGGGCAAAATGCAACTCATTTAGGCGTTAAGATAGGATCATTTATTCTTTGACATGTGTTTTTCATTATTAGTTTTTTCTTGTATCTCATAGATTTTTTTTCTCCTATAAAGTTAGCTTGATGATAAGGAAAGAATCTATTTCTTTGTCTGTTCCGTTTCTCACTGAATGCACTCTGCATAATTTTTATATTAAGGATGTACTGGGTTATCTGCTCTGCATAGAACTAACATAAACGTTAAAAATGAATTATTTCAGAATCTAAGAGGGACACTCATGCTTCTCTTCAGCTGCTGAGGGGACAGCAACTAACCATGCAGGAAACCTACTTCTACTCTCTTTTGTACTTTCCTAAAAACTAATTCATTCCACTCAATATTTGAAATTTATTTTGGAAATGCGTCTCAAACATTGTGGTGATTATGAATGCAATTATTGTGCTACAAAAGATTAAGATGCATTCTCATCTGCCCATAAAGGAAATGATGCTCTATTTGTAGAAGTCATTTGACAGATGTTTATGGTTAGCCTTTGCATTCCGTTTGCCCCTGTAAGAGTGGGAGGACTCCAAAGACTATGGCTTTATCTTTTATTAATTTTTAAGTTAATATACACGATAATGAGTTTTATTATGACATTTTCATGCCTGTATCATTATATCTTGCTCATGTTTGCTCATTCCTACCGAATACCACCATTCTGTATGCTGCCTGTCTCTAGCTGTAAGGTGTGTTGTTTTTGTTTCTGTTTTGACGCAGGGTCTCATTCTGTGTCCCAGGCTAGCCTCAGCCTCCCTGTATTAGGACTACACAGGCATGAGCCACCATAAAGAGCTCAGACTGTAAATATTACATGATGACTAGATAATGCTATACTCATCCCCAATGTACCGCTCTCCAGAGCCCCAAGGAAATTGAGAGATATCTGGATTGGGGATGTTTGTCACTAAATTGGTATCAAATAAGCTGCATGCCACATTCCTTCTGTTGATATAAAAATTCAAAATTGAAAATTTGTGCATTGATATGATCAGACCTTAAGTAAATTTATTAAAAGTCATCATTAGAAATGTGCTCTCACTGAGGGCAGGGTATTACTTTATAGGATTTCTTTTCCCTGCTCACTGTTGTTATTGTAGCTACGAATGGATCACTCTATCCATTAGCAGATGTTTAGTATATTAGCCTCCCCACATGTTGCTGACTATGGGGCTCCAGCCCCTTGATAGCCCTCTCCCAGAATCCAGGGAGAATCTATGGCCAGCTGATAATCTAATCTTTGATGATATTAAATGAATCTATGTACAAGAAACTCTTTAGTCCATATGCTTTATTTTTCTGAGTCAGTTCTCTCTCTTTCTACATGGCTTCCATTCTGTTCTCACATGTAGCTCCTCTCTGTCCCTTCTCTTCCTGTCTTCTCATTGTCACAGTTCTAACTTAGCTCCTTTGCTCTCCACCTCATCTACGTTCTCCAATCCTATCTATTACACATTCCTTCCTCTTCTACCCTCCTAACCTGACCAAGTCAGTTTCTCTACAATCTGCAAAAACTCTGCCTTGCTGCTACCTGGCCAGGTGGGGCAACTCTGCTCTGAGCTAGGAATTCTGCCTCAATACTTCAGGGCACCTGGTATGCAAAAAACCCTTTTGCTCTGAGTCAATTGCTCTGGAATGCCAGTTGGCCTGTGAGAGGATGGAGGGTCTGGGCTTCATTTGCACAGGAAACAAAGCTATGCACCTTGTCTCCAAGGCGATGTCTCCAGAAGGGTATTTACCTTAATTCAGGAGGCTGTTCGCTGTTTTGGCCTAGGATGCTAGGTAAAAACATTGTTAAAAGTTCTTGTGGAAGTTATAAGTGCACATGGAATTCATAGCAGAAAACAGCTGATATACTAAAAGCTGAATAACACCAAATACTCCTTGAGATTTGGCTTAATCCTCTGGAAGGCCCTTAGCTTCTTCCAGGTATTAGCTTTGTCATAATCAGCTGAATTTCTACTTCATGTTTATGCTGTGGCCCGTAACACCCATGCTTATTACTAGTCCTAGTGACTAGGAGATGAATAAAACTTACTAGTTGCTAGGGAGTTATCATTTAGGATCCTTCACTTTATTGTCTATAAGATGAGGATAACAATAATACCCACATATAAGAGCTGTAGGATTAAATAAGATAATCCTCATAAAAATGCTTGGAAGCCAATTTAAAGTATGCTCCTAATTAAATATGATCAATGATGACATTCAATAGACAATAGTAAAAATGCTACAAACACTATTGAAAATATTGGTTGTCAACTATTCCTATGTCTAACATAGTATATAGCAAGAATGCTTTGTTGATAAAATTGCAGGAGAAAATTCTGCCTGGTAGAATACTTTGTGTTTTTATCCTCGATACTTTAAAGTTTCAACAGAGCACTTCAAACATCACCTTAATTAAGTGAAAATTATTTGCTACAAGATGTAAGAAAATTTGTCATTAATAATTTTACAACGATACTTTGCTTCACTTTAAAAGATCTTTTAAAATTTAAGAATAATCTATACACCCTTTAAAGTTCATACCTTGTGTCTGCAAGTATCAGTATAAACAATTAGTTGATGAAATTTGGAGTCACTTAAAAATGCCCTCTTTCATTCAGATAAATACTGATGGAATTCGTCTTCTGTGTAGGCATCTAAAGATGGAAGGAGCTGACCCCTGCTCACCTTTAGACCAGGTAGGAAGACACAATCCCCTTTCATTTATGGTGCCACACTATGTTAGAGAATGGGCTGATTAATGTGGGATTCTAGAAGGAGGAGTGACCAGGAAGACGACACAGCCTCTGTCCTCTCTAAAGAAGGATAACAAGGCTTCCTAGCTAGGCAAGAAGCAATGGACTGACCACACATGGATGGTTTTGTCATGCTGCTCCAATGCTGGAAGTACCTTATATTTGACTTGAATCATCAACCATATCACCACAAACAATGTAGCCAGCCCTAGGGGGAGGGGAGCAGGGAATTCTTCACTCTCTTCTCAAAATAGCTCATATTACACTCAATATTAAAAGACAGGACTGACAATATGGTGATGTTTCCCATGTCTGGTAGATACAATAAATGTATAATCCCACCAGGTACTAAGTATACAGTGTTAATATATTTTTAATTTTTAATTTATAGCCCGTGTCTGGACGGCAGATTCCTCAGCCTCCACTTTATTGAGGTTTCTACTGCGATATTGTTCTCTGCTTCATTTTGTGATTCACTGAAAGAAAAAGAAGTGGAGAGGAATAAAATTCCCCCGATGCAGCTCTGGTGTACAGGAACGGTGATGTAACAGCCATCTTCAGAGACTGTTCAAGCTCACCTCCCGCTGCATCAGGACTTTGCCACGTAATGACCTTTCAGCTCTGCAAAAGAAATGCCTCAGAGAGCCTCCAAACTCGGCTTTGAACCACAACAGGCTACCAAAAATTGCGTCTGCTCGTGCCTGTGAGTTCATCAGCCCTATCGAGCCGCTGAACAACACTGTGCTGAAATGCTGAGAAGCTTTGTGAGCTCGTCGATGGGCGTGGCTGCCGGCGTTTCCCTCCTTGTACTCTTGCTGGTCTGTGGAATTGGGTGTGTCTGGCACTGGAAGCGCCAGGACAGCGCACCCTTTACCTTACCGAAGTTTATGCAAAGAAGTAGCAGACATAAAGACTGCACAAAAAACCTTGGCTTGAGTGACCACAAGATTTGCTCCAGCTCTAAAACCTCAGTGGAAAGCAAAGGCCACAAGTCTACTTCCAAGAGAAATAGGATGCATGGCGAGTACGAAAACGTGAAAGTGGGTCCTCCCCGCACTGAAGAGCCACCTGAGAAGGCGCTGTATGAAAACACGCAGCCATCTAATCTTGAGGAGCACGTCTACGGTAATCAAACAGATGTCCTCTATTATAATTTCCAGAAGCCTAGCCCTCCTCCTCCTCCTGCTCCTCAAGATGAAGACATATACATCCTTCCAGATTCTTACTAGCTTTTGAAGGAGCTGAGACTCATTGCTGCAGGAAAAAAATGATCACCAGGCCTCTGGGTGGACTGATGATCAAATTATTCTGATGAAATCAGAGGTCTCTTTCCTATCTCTGCCCTTATACATCCTCACTAAGAGAACCACTGTGCACAAATTCTAGAAACCCTCTCTGCCTTGGATTAAATCTGTGTTGTATTATATTAATTCTTCTTTTTAAATATTTGCTGGTATAGCTTTCCTTCATTTCTTCCTTTACTATCTTTGAGGCTCAATATTATTGCCAGTCTCCTAGCAATTCACCTGTCTTCTTCTTTTGTTTTGCTGTGATTAAGGGTTAACCCAAGGCCTTTCACACACCACGTAAGTGCTCAACCCCTGAGCCACATGTCTACCCTGGTCTTCTGAATTATATCCATTCAGTAGCCTGTGACACAGCAGATTGATCTTCAGAAAACATCTTAGATCGCCAGACCATTCCTTTGCCAAAATATAATTTTATGTTTTGTTTGCAAAAGACATAAAGCTCCAAAGCCTGAGTCCAGAATTTATGACTTTTCCAGTTACAATTTCTTTTCCCAGTGATGATTTCTCCTAACCTTTCACTTTGTTACTTGTATCAAAATCATCTCAAAGCTGCCAAGCCCTTCTCTTTGCTCCATGGTGTTCCTTGTCCACCTTCTCAAGCCTGCCTCAGATTATAACTTCTCCAACATCCTCTGAATCATTTGAAACCTCCATTTCCTTTTTTAATTTCCAATATTCTGTAGATATTACTGACTGTTTAATTCTTTGAGCATTTAAAGATATGAATATTTGCTATGAATTCTATTATTAATGTAGTATGAGAACATCTTCAGTTGCAGTTGAATAGGAAGGAACTGGCTCGTTAACATGCTTTTAATCCCAAAGAAATCATATGAGGAACTAAAAGTTTGATTTATTGACAAAATTATATCCTGCATTTTGTTAAGTAGTTTTGAAAAAAATTAATAAATTCACTAATTCCAAATCTATCTAATGAATATTTATTGAATGTTTTTAACTACTTATTAGAGTATATATACTTGTAATTGTACTAGGCAGTTGGGGGATAAAGAGAGGAATTGTTATAAGCAAGCCAAGAAAGGAAGAAAGAAGGAAAGAAAAGGAAGAAAGGGAGAAAGAAAGAGAAAGAGAGAGATCTTGAGTATATACTTTCTACACAAAAAGAAAAGACAATAAACAACATTTCATTATGAAACCATGGATATCTCATCTTTAAGCATAGGCTTTTATAGGATGCTCTGCACTACTTGGCTGGGTATCTAGAAGACTGCTATTTTCGCCGGGTGAATCTTTACTGAGCTTTGCTGCCAAGAAGTTTTCCGAGGAACCGGAATCAAAAGGAATTTGTTCCTCCTCGTCCTCTCTACAAGCATGTGTTTGACTCCAGCATTGCCAAGAGTGTGCAGTTCCTAGTTTCTCCTAGCCTTATCCCTCTCTTTCATGGATGTCCACACCAGCCAGGCAGCATCCTTTGTTAGAACCAGAGGGTTAGCTCTCAGATCCTCCCTGGGTACCATCAAGGGACAAGACCCATTCTGAGTTCTAAGTATCAGCTCTGCAGGCCTCTGAAGCTCAGATCTTAGTTACGAGGCTACAGACATCTGAAGTTACTATCTCTGTAATGCCTCAATGTCCCATCTAGTTCTCCACCCCCACCCCGTGTGTGTGTGTGTGTGTGTGTGTGTGTGTGTGTGTGTGTGTGTGTGTGTGTGTGTGTTGGGGATTGAGATTCAATTATTTTTCTTATGTTTTCTTTGTTAAACT